TGCTCMTCAKGCGGCTTTCCCTCAAGGCTCTTCACCATCTTCACCGCCCATCTTTGGACACTTTCAAAGGATATAAATGGCTTTATATCCTTCTTACATTGTGGTGTCCAAAACAGCAMGCAGTACTTGAGATCAAGCCACACGAACACAGTGCAAATGAACCAGAACAGTATATTTGTTTCATCAGGCAGAGGAACTCAAGCAACAGAGCAAACCTGACAAGRTTTGGGCTGCACCATTCACACCCAAGAGCAGCAAGGGCAGCCATACCTGGCTCAGTGTTCCCCCGTGGGGCCCGGCCCGGCGAGTGCCGCCGGGAGGGGAGGAGAGGGGAGAGCAGGGGAGAGCGGGGAGAGCAGAGCAGAGCACAGCACAGCAGCCACCCCGCGCCCCCTCAGCCTGGCGCCGCCCGCCTCCCTCCGCGCCGGGAGCGGCCCTCACGGCGGAACCGCCTTCCCGCGCCCCCGGGGCCGCTCCCGGCGGCACCGACTCACCGGCCCTGCCCGCTCGCCGCCGCCATTGGGGCGGGCTGTCCGCCCGCTCTGCGCAGGGAGGAGCCACCGGGCAGCGCCCGGGCTGGGCGGGAGTGTGTGTGTGGGTGCTTTGCGCGCAGACTGGCGCCCAGCCAGGCTCGGGGGAAGGCGGTCGGGGTGAGCAGACAGCGGCGGAGAGGGCAGGCGGCGGTGCCGGTGGGTAACGGTGGAGCGGGATGCGGCGATAGGGGAGCCGGGATGCGGCGATAGGGGAGCCGGGATGCGGCCGTAGGGGAGCCGGGATGCGGCCGTAGGGGAGCCGGGATGCGGCCGTAGGGGAGCCGGGATGCGGCCGTAGGGGAGCCGGGATGCGGCCATAGGGGAGCCGGGATGCGGCCATAGGGGAGCCGGGATGCGGCCATAGGGGAGCCGGGATGCGGCGCGGCTGCGGCGAGGCCGAACAAAGAGCGGGGGGGGCGGGGGATGTTGGCATGGACCAGGCTGTGGCTCTCCGGGTCCGCGTGGCCGCCCGCACCTCTACCGGAGGAAGTCGGCTGCGGGGAGCAGGAGGGGAGCCCCGTTCCTCCCGGGGCTGAGAGCGCCGCTCCCCACGCTGCCGGCGGGGCTCCCGGCGCCACAGGCCCGGCGGCTGGTCGGTGCTGGGGGCGGATGAASCCCCGGCCTTGCCCGCAGGCCAGGTGGGAGCGAGCGGCCGCGGTGCCAGCCCAGCTCCCGCCGCTGCCCCCTGCCCGAGGCAGTGCGCAGAGCCTCAGGCATTAGTTTTCCAGACGCTTAAGGTAGCAGGTTTGTTTCCTTTCAGCCTAYTTTTGTGGAGAAGCTGCCGAAACAGAGGGGGAAAGAGAGGGGAGAAAAAAATGAAACCACTTTATTTCTAAGGTGCTGTCTGGTGACCCGTCTGTAGACCATTAACTAACCGGAAACACGGGGTCGGAATCTGTGTTTGGATCTTCCGAAACAAAGCATATTAAACCTCGTCTGTACCGACGAAAARCATGCTTGGGCTCCTGCAGCCACTGTAACTAACCTCTGATAGCATGGAAAAGGCCCTGCCCGAGGTCTGCTGTGTCCTGTYTGTTTTCTGCTGGGCTGAAGGATAAGGCTGGTCATCTATAGTCTTTTACCCTCTAACTCATAGTTCTCTCCTTTAGATATCTGTTTGTCATGGGGTAGGTTTCAAACTAACACACCATGCCCTTAGTGTTAAGGAAGCAGATATGGCAATTGCTTATAGTGACGGTGATGTGATTAATTGGTACAGGTGACTTAATAATCAAGGGTTCCATTTATACTTGGATTAATTTCAGCTTATTTTACAGCTTCTTGCTGAGTAGCTAAAACTTCTTGCTTTTGAAAGATCAGAATGCAGGCCCAGTCAGGGCTTTCTAACAACCATATCCAGACCAGAAGTAATGTGAAGAGCTGTTGCATACGGGTCTGCTTCCATCAGTAGTAGCAGTAGTTRGTAGGGGGATAGTGTCACATACCATTACATTTTCTGGATTTTAAATGTTTTTCTTTTTTTCATATAATCAGCTTCTGTTTTTTCCTTRCTTTATTAATCTGATAATTATTGTTTAGCAATATACATTGTAGAGTGGAAACTTTTTAATTTGCATGTCTGCTTCAGTATTGCAGTGTGTCATATTTATGTTCGTGTACATAAAATACCGTCTTTGAATACTTGACATCTTCTCTTGCAGTCATGTGAGGTGGAAAACTGCCCTTTTCTAATCTTGAAGGATTTGTTTTACAATACTGATGAGTGTTTTGAACATGTGGTTTAATAGTGCTACAGTCTTTGCTTTGTACCAGGAGATATATACTGAACATGTGTTGTCTCTTGTGGTTTGCATATTTTAGTTACAGTTGGATACAGTTGGCAGCTAAAGACAGTTTAGTTATTTGCTTTCTCCCCTGTCTGAGAAGCYTTGGTATTAATTTTGTCACTATGTCATTCATTTCTCTTGGTTCTCATTTCAAGTAAATATTGCTTTAAAAAAATCCCTGATGGTTCTTATGGCAGTGGTGACACATGATGATGTGAATTAATTCTCATTAGGTCCAGGTAGAATAAATAAATCCAGGCTGGAATGGAGTAAAGAATTGTTCTGTCTATTATTTTCCTATCCAAAGAGAAACATTGAAACAACTGCATTTATATAGGGGAAAAWTATTTTTAATCTTATCGCTATACAGAGAGACATTGGTCATTTTTTGGTAGCCTGCAGAGCATAGCTTTGGAYCCTTTTGAACCACTTTATTTTTTATTGCTTAGTATCTATAAAGATCATTGTAGCATCATCATTAGTTTTGCTGTCTCTGTCTCATGCAGTTTTTAAAAAAATCTGTGTTTTTTTCAGATAACATATTGTAAAATAAGCTTCCTAAAATCTATAGAATGTATTTTGCTAGATTATAAAAATGCTGTTGATCTTTTCACTTGTTTTTTATATTTCATTACAGTTGAAAGCTTATCTTACCTAAGCTTTCAGAGAAAATAATATGAAGGAGCAGAATAAAAATTTTAAATCAAGTTTTTGATGCACTGTCATGATTTTTCCCCCCACACCTCCCCCCTCCCGAATGAGATCATCTTCCACAGGGAAATGCATGGCATCACTGCATTACCTAAAGGAAGATGAGGCAATTCTYAGCCTGTTAGAATCAGCATCTCCTCTGGAGAGCATTGCTGTTACCCTGATTGGTGCTTTAGAACACAAAATTCCCTTCATGCTCAAATGCGCATTTGAATGCCTAGCAACAAAAGAGATCTCTTTGTGCTTGTCTTTTGTTTTTGAAAGAAGTGCAGGTGTCTTGGTGCCTGAGGTTGCTGAGGAATTGATGAATATTAAAAGTGAGTTACAAATTCTGTTCTGATGATAAAGCATGCAAATTTAAAATACTTGACCGTGTTATAACCAGTTTTTCTAGACAATCCCTGTAGCTTCTGTAAAGTCTCTTAGACAAGCTCCAACTGTGATGAAGTGGAGTGCAGTAAGCTCTAACACTTCATTAAACAATTGAAACTGTGAGCTGTGAACTAGGCTTGCAGAGGCTTTAGTAAGAAACACTTTTATGATATAGTATTACAAATTGTGKTTTACATTTTTTAGAAAGAAAGTACTATATCTGTTGTAAGTGTGGGTTTGCTAGCTACTTCTTCCAATTTGATTGTTTCTTTGGCGCTGGATCAAGGACAGTAGTTTTAGAGCTTTAAATTTTAAGGTCATAGAAGGATCAAAGAGATAAGTTTTAATTTAAGGTGACATGAATGTTGAAGATCTCTCTTAATGTTTGCATCCTGCCTCAGTGTTTCTGATGTAAGAAACATTCCGTGCTTACAGGCAGTTGGGTCTGCAGTTTGCTTAGCTGAGTCTGCTGCTTAACTAAGTTCAGCAGTTTGGTTGGAGCACACCTGGTGTGAACSCAAGACAGACTAATGATCCACTTACCCTCCCTCATGATTCCAAGGGTTCATCTGTTGGCCAGAGTGTTTGCTTTCCCTATATTTTGGCTGAGTCTTTCTCCAAGCAGCTGTTGGTAGCTGGCTCATCTGAGAGACAGGAGCTGACTGCAGCTCATGTGGCACAGTATTTACTAGTTTACACTCTCTCCTTCATGTACTCTCAGCGCTGGCAGTGCAGAACTTGACAGTGCCCAACAGCTGGCATAAACACCTGGGTTTTTAGCAGAAGTTGATTTCCATGCTAACACAGTTACACTGCTGTCAGTACATCTGTTGATTGGTTTTGATAATAGAGTTGGCATGTGATGCTGTGCTTTTTATTTATGGTTGTTTATTAGAGCTGTCAGACAGAAAACAAATGAGGAAGTTAACTTTTAACTGTCTCTCATTAATCCCAGCCACATTGAAGGATTTAGGTTGTGCTCCTGCACACAGTTCTTCTTCAGGACAAGGAACAGTATGAGTTGCATCAGAATTGTGGGTCAGGCTGGTTGGATGTTTTCCTACAAATTGTGCTGAGGCTGAGAGCTCAGGAAAGCTGAGAACCAAAGCTTGGGATGATTGCAATAGGGATGGTTGAAAAAGGTGCAGAAACTCCTGGAAGCTGGGCTGTGCTRGAGCAGGATAACTTACAGCATTCTTTTCAGTGAAAGCTGTTCTTTCCAGTTGCTGGGGATCAGAAGCTCTGCTGTTCAGTTAGAGCTGGGTGCACACTGAGCAGTTTCACTGTAGATTGGACTTTGCTGGCAATGCTAATGTTCCCTGCCCCATAAGGGATAGGGTTGGATCACTGGCATGCCACAGGCCATAGGTATTTGAATTGCTCTTTGGAGCTGCTTGCCTTTTTCTTCCCATAGGGTATGTTTAATGAATTGTACTTTGAAGTTAGGATGAATGACTCCAGATTGTAATGCTAGGCAGTCCTAAGTTCAGCTAGATTTRGTTCCTGCCCCATGATTCTGTCTTTAAAATAAATTTCTAAAGCATAATGATAGAATGCATTTTAGACATGTTATTTCTAAAATACCAATCTTGTTTAATGCTCGTGTTACTTGATTTTCAGGAAATTTCCTGTTTGCTGCATTTCATAATAGAGTTGTCAAGTCTGGAATAATTTGGTGAAGAAGAAGATTTAATTACATCAGTGCTCTGAAATAGTATTCAGAGTAACATTGAAGGTCTTTTGAAGTCACTAAAAATGTAAGTAAATGTCTTCCTAGAAACAAGTTAAGAAAGAAGGTTATATATTACCTAATTAGTGCTTCTAGTGCACAGAAATTGTTGCTACAAAAATGGGTGTTTGTGTTGTACTAACAAGAGTATAGATACKAAGTTGAGACTTAAGAATAAAATGATCATGATGTAAGATGGCAAATGTAGTTTGCCCCAAAGAATCTAAGCTTTAAATAAGAATCTTCATCATATCTGACCAGAAAATCTTACTACTTTGTCTGGTTACTTATACCTTCTTATTTACCATAAATGTATCTGCTCAAGTTTTTCTACAATTCTTGCCTTGTAATGCCTTTTTTTGTTTCTTGAGGTCTCAGCGCTTCTAAGAATTTATTACTTTGTTTCATCTGGAGATTAAAATTTATGATGCATAATTGTTTCTGAAACATGAGTATACMGTGACTTTTGGTTCTATGTTCCATGAGTACACACAGAGTAACAGGGGGAGGTTTAATGCTTTTAAATTGATTTCTGATTTGGTATCTGTTATSATTATTGTGTTCTCATAAAAGTAAATAGCAGCCCACAGCATAGGGTTCATTTCATCAACTTTTTAAAGTTAAATTGTTGTGGTTGTATTTTATTAATATTGCAATTGCCCTCACATACACCARTTGGAACAGGATACAGTGAAATTCTGAAAGGTATTCAATTTCCAATTCTCTGTATTCCATTTCAATCCATTTGAAATGGAATGCAGAGAAATTACTCATTTCTCAAACTACTATGACCCAATTTCTAATCCATGTTAGTCTTTGCCCATCTCTGATAACTTGCATTGCATGATTTTGGTTCTTAATTTCTAATGTATGTGGGGACATTGCAATATTGTAAAGATTTTTTTTTTAATTTATTTGTCTCTTATATTGCTTTTTGTGTGTCTTTTCAATGATTTAGTCACAGAGATCTGCAGACTTTCTCTCAGAGTTCTTTTAGAAGGCAATAATTTAGAAAAATATTTCATGTTGTTCTTTCAAATACAAAATGTGTAGGGATTACTCAGAAACGACTCCTAGGCTAAAGTTATTCTGTGAACTGTCATAATACTTCTATTTTCTTGCATTTTCAAGCTGATTATTGGTATTAATAATGGCTGACATAGGAGATGGACCACATTTGGGAGAAGATTTGRCAGATGCAAAATCTATTCCAGGTTTTAAAGGGTAAGTGAGGTACATTTGGTTTAAGTCTTCAGTTTAAGTCTGGAGGAATCTTGTGTGGTAATGGAAGGTGAGAGCCATAGAAGAAATAATGCTAAATGGAAAAGTTTAAATTATGGTAAATCGTAATAATCAAAAGCAACTATTAGAGTTGTACTGACATTGAAAATATATAGTATGTGACAGAACAGGCCACATGCATGAAAAGGAACTACAAAGCAAAACACTTGAGGTGTAGTTAGGCTTAGCTAACTGCTAATTATCAAGTGCTTAGGTGTTCTTGAGAGGAGATACCTGTTTCACCTCAGGATAAACATTCACCTCTTTCTATGCAGTGCTTCTAGAGCTGGCCTGAGTCTGTAGAAGACAGGCTGTTTTCATCCAAATGTAGCCATCATGCTGGTGGCTATTGCTTAAGCAAAAAAGCACACATCTGCCACATTTTTCTAGGTTTTGAATGTTTACTTATAAAAATTCAATGGTAATGACTTTTGGTTAGAATTCAGAAAAGATTTGCCTTCTCAGAGCTAGCCTTTGCTCCGGACACATAGATTTCAAAAGATGATAGTAAAACAACCCAACTGATTTCTTGTTGATACAGTAATTGGTATCCTTAAACAAAGTTTTCATTTTTCCTGTGCAGAGGCATTATAATTTTAAACAGAATTTTTTCTTGATTCTTCTAACTTTAAGCTTGTTGCAAGTTGCACTACTACAAAGGCAACCTTACCAGTTCATTGGGTTTGCTAAAATAACCCATTATTATTTTGAAAATGCAGAGATCAGAAATTAACACCTAATTTTTTTCTGATTTTTATACAGAAAGAACCTACCTGCTAGCAAATCTATGGACTCTGGAATTTTGCCAGACTACAGTTACAGAATGGATTATCCAGAGATGGGGGAATGCATAATAATAAACAATAAGAACTTCCAGAGACACACTGGTACCACTTTCAAGTTTTTAACTTGTTTTGCTTAATTTAGATAAATTAGTGCCATGTGTTATTCTTTCACATGAAATATGCCGACCAGTTTTGATTGCACTCTAGAATTAAGTCATGGGTGTGATTCATTTCAGTTCATTCTTCCAAACAAGCATAGAGGAAACACGTTAGAGTATAGCAGTGATGAGCAGGAAAATTGATCAGCAGTACAATACTGTCTTACCTTTTAGTCATGATTTCTATTTTGTAAATAAAATGCTTCTTATGTCCTTATATAGATAGGTAGATACAAAAATAAGATGTAGATAAATCTATAGTACAGGTACAGAAAGTGGGAGATGGTGTGCACATGTAACAGTGCAATGTTTTCTCTGTTCAAGTGGATCTGGAATAATGGAATGTTTCAGACTGATATAGGTATAAGTGACAAAAGAATTTGGCTCAATCAGACCATGCYATCTATATTATATCAAAAATAACACATTCCTCTTCTGTATAGGGATGCTACCCCGTTCCGGTACAGATGCAGATGCTGCAAGTGTCAGAGAAGTTTTTATGAAGTTGGGATATAAAATAAAGATCAACAATGATCTTTCATATGGGGACATTTATAAACTACTGAAAAAGGGTAAGTTAKTAAATGTCTGGTGTGTGTATAAAGTCAACCGTTGTTTCCAATTACATCTCTAGCCGTCACATCTCTTCTTTCTGGGTTATTTTAGATGTTATTTCACACTTTCTCGTGATTCATTGCTAAGGATGACTTGTACATCATAGTTTCTGTGTTTATTCACCTTTGCTGTCTTTCCATCTTTTATGCCATATCCGTATCCTTTCTCATCTTCTAAAGAAGGCTGGAAAAAAGGCTGAAACTTAAATGCAGACTGATTTATATTCTGATCCTGGGATCACTGAAGCTCTGTGAGTTGGAAAGAAAACTGCAAGATTGGGTAGAGGGTTTCTGTACTGAATGTTTGGTGGTGTGGTCCAAAGAGGGGTTCTGATTGAGGGGCAGGAACTGCAGTTGTGTGGACTGAATTTTCTATTGGACAAACAACTCAAGTTTTGTTTAATTTAATTAATTAATTTGTTTAATTTAATTAATTAATAAAACACCCTTCTCTCAAGTGAGCACTTTACACTACTGTGTTAGTCCTGCTTTGTTTGGACTTGGCTACATCTGGACCCGTAAATTAAATGGTGCCTGGGTATATCAGTAGCCCTGGAACACAGGCCATTCTGGTTAACTGCTGGAAGGTTCTCTGCCATGACTGTGACTCGTGCCCACCAATGCTCTCCCAGACTTTCAGGTCACAATGAAACAGTAAAAGTGTTCCAGTGACTATTCCCAGCCCCAGTTAGCCTACAGCAATCCTCGTCTTGGGTTTAATGTTTGGTTTTGTTCAGGTCTTTTGGTTTTTAGGGTTTTTTATGAAAGTGTTTGCTAACATAGTTGTAGGTTCTTCAGTGCCAGTCAATGTCATTTTCTGACAGAAAATGTGACCAGGCATGGTWAATTTAATAATTTATTAGTGTTGTTGCAGCTGGTCTGTTGACAGTAGCTGAAAATGTGGTTCTTCTAAATGCAGTGCTTGTCCATGAACTGTACAAATGCATTGCTTGAGAAAAGTCTAAACAGTTCATTTCTTCCAGATTAGAAATTCAGTGTTTTGGTAAACTCTAAAGAGTAAGTCTTCAGCTTAGGGTCAGACCCTAGTTAGGGTCTGTTTTCATTTTTCACTACAAWTTCTTGCATCTGCTGAGTTACCACTCATAATGTCTTTTGTATCCTTTTTTGAAAACATTGTTTGTATCTTTTCATAAATTTGAAAAAATCATCTTGGTCCTCAAGTACATTTCCCACAATGTCCAGGCAACAAGAGACATTAGAGAATATAAATTCAATGCTATTTGCATACCACAAGATGAAAGGGAAAAAAAAGTATAAATCTATAAACACTTTCTGTCACTTTTAAATAACTGTAAGTAAAAAATTAAGAGGATTCAAAAATCCTTCTAGACCTCACTACAGGTAAAAAGGGARAGGGAGAGAAAGGTATTGCTAGTAGCTAGGTCCCTGAAGGAGGAGCAACTGTCATGCTGCATTCAGTTCCCATGTAGTCCAAGTAGTTGAAACATCCCCAGTTGGAAAGAGGTATGACTTCTCCATTCTTTCCCAAAACTCGGGACTTTCCACCAGTCCGCTCCCAGATCACAAGACTGACCATTATTGCATGGATTAACTGTATTCAGACTTTGAGACACTGTAGGAATACCCTTTTTTTTTTTTTCCTTGCAGTATTCCTGGCCCAGCTCTGTGGCCATGTCTTGCAATGGGTAGCACTGGCCCTTAATTTGTGATTTACTGTGCCCAACTTCCTSAAGTGAAGTAGGCAGGCCGCTTCTGTTCAGAAGTGAAAACTGGTTGGAGGTTTCTAAACATGTGAATTAGTTCTTAAAGACTTCTGTGACATAGGAAGGATCAAATGTTCAAAATGTTTAGGGAATGCAGGAAGTTAAGATAACTCTCTTTTTTCTTTCAAGTTTCTGAAGATGATCACAGCAAGCGAAGCAGTTTTGTTTGCGTGTTGCTAAGCCATGGCGACGAAGGGTTGATCTATGGTACAGATGGGCCTCTTGAACTGAAAGCAATAACAAGCCTTTTCAGAGGTGACAGGTGCAGGAGTTTAGCTGGAAAACCCAAGCTCTTTTTCATTCAGGTGATGTACAGCTGAACAAGGATCATAAAATTAGCCAGATAGTTAAAAAAAAAGAAAATTCCCATTGATCATTAGTGCAAAGAGTTAATCCTTTCTAAAATAGATTTGAATGTAATTATTTTCAGAGAAAGATTCTCTTCAGGTCTAAAGTGGCACAATTTTCCCTATTTGTAGGCAGTATTTATAATAGCTGACATTGCATTAATTCTATGTATTAAGTAAAATCTTAGAGAATACTTTAATGAGTTTCTGAGTGTACTTTTGAATTAATATCTGTCTTACCCAATCTGTGTAGTTGATTTAAATAAATGCTACTACTTTTCTTCTGAGTCTGTCTGATGGAAATGTGACACATAAATTCTTACTATTTTTGCAGTTTTTAATCATGATACTATAATTTTTAAACCACAAAAAATAAGTATTTTTATAATCATCACTGCCTTTATTTTTTTATTCTAACATTATTTCCCATTCTTCTTTCCACCAAATAGGCTTGTAGAGGGACAGAATTAGATTCTGGTATTGAGGCAGACAGTGGATCAGAAGAAACTATGTGTCAGAAAATACCTGTAGAAGCAGACTTCCTCTATGCCTATTCTACAGCACCAGGTGAGAGACTGTATCCATGTCAGCCTGTATCCTGCTATAAATTACAATTTGGAGTTGGACTCAGTCAGTGGGTAACTTCGCTTGTATGGAATGTCCCTTCGGTCAGTTTTGGGTCAACTGGGCCAGTTGTATCCCCTCACAGGATCTTGCCCACTGCCAGCCCATTGGTGGAGGGAATGTTGAAGGAAGAGACAGCACTGCTCAGCAGCAGCCAAAGCACTGGGGTCTTACCAGCATCTTTCCTCTACCAATGCAAAGCACAGCATTGTGAGGGCTGCTGTGGGAAAATGAACTCTTGCTCAACCAAACCCTATGCACTCTTTCATGGAAAGGTGTATATTCTTCCCTCACTTTTTTTACCTTGATATGATTTGTTTTTGAGGTAGTTGGTGTTCTTAGTTCCTACAAAACCCCTGCCAAACCTTGGATATATCCTTCTCATTAGCAAACTCTCAAATGTTAATCTGCTAGAAATTTAGTTAATTGCAGTTGTGTAAATAATATACAGCAAGAGGAAAAGGTATTATTCTGAGAGAACAAAACAGTCAGATATGCAGAAGTGGATGATAAACACCAGCATATTATTTGTCTATCTACTGTATTTGCATTGCATCCTTAAGCCAAGTTGGTAGTGGCAGAACCCTTCATACGTCTTGTACATTTCTACTTAGCAGAAGTAGGTTCATTCTTTAATTCTGCACATAGTCCTGAAGCCAGTGACACTGAAACCCATTTTCCATCTCTGCTGTCACCTCTCCTTTGTATTTGTGTACTCYGTGAAAAGTAGTAAGTGATTAATGACAAGATTGCTGCAGCAGGAGATCATTTTCCTGCCTTTTGATTTTCTTCCTACTTAAGGTTTTCTTAGTTTAATAAAAGGTGACAGGATTAGAAAAACCTTTTGAGTTGGAATTTGTGGAGATTGTAAAATCTAAATGTTGTTAGTTGTTTTTGAGTTTTAGTTTTAAAACGTTGATTGCTATTGGAAACAATACATTGTTCCCCTAATTGCTGACATGTCCTGTATCAAAGGCTGCTACATCTGATCACTTTGACATTGCTCTCTTCCACAGGCTATTACTCCTGGAGGAATTCAGCTGAAGGCTCTTGGTTTATTCAGTCATTGTGTAAAGTGCTGAAGGAACATGCAGGGAAACTTGAACTCATGCAGATTTTAACTCGTGTAAATCGCAGAGTGGCAGAGTATGAGTCCTGCTCAACTCGACAAGATTTTAATGCGAAGAAACAGATTCCATGTATTGTCTCTATGCTCACCAAAGAATTTTATTTCCCTTCCTAAAACAATTTTTCAGTTCATGTTTTTATCTGCATTTTATATGCAATATTAGTACAAAATACCACTTTTAAATCTGAATAACACTTCACTTCTGTGTGTGGCACAATGGGCTGTCTCAAAGTTAGGTATATGTCTGTTGTTAGAAGTAAAACATAGTATGGCTGTGTTAGAAATGCAAACATGAGTAGCTGAAGCAGATTTGAAGTATTGCAAAAGGTTAGGAAGGGGAGACTGAAGAAAGATCGGATCATTTCTCGGAGCTATTTGGTGCAACATTTCACTTTGCTGAAGGGGCAGAGAAAAGAAACAGTTCTAACAAATAGTTTGGTTTCACATCTTACAAAGAAGATTCATAATGTCAGTTATGGTAATATGATAGTAGTGTCGTCATGCATTTCTTAACTCAAGTTCTTAACGTTTTGGTTATAAATTAACCTAAACTATTTTTATGCTTTTGGGCATAAACTGTGGAAAACAGCCATTACATACTTTTGCGTACAATTAGGAGGCATGTTTAGAGTACAGTCAGTTTTTCCTGATAATTAGCGATAATTTTATAACTTTGTGTATGGAATGCTACATAAAGCAATTATATCAACATGGTAGCTATTTCAAAATAAATTTTGTATTCTGACGTTGAAGCTGAGTGTCCAAGGGACCAGTCTTCCAAAATGTCTTTCTGCAGCTCTCTATGCGTGGAGCTGTTGGGGCGTATTTGGGACTATAAGAACCAGTGAAAAAGAAAGTCTCGAACACTCTGTTTTCCTCATTTTTGCCTTAAATAAGAGTGGGTACCACATGTGCATACCACATGCAATTTGTGTGAAAACCTAGATTTGGGGTACTGGCAAAAATTCACTTCATATGTCTAATTCCACTGATTTAATTACAAACTTCAGCTAAAATATGTTAGYAAATAATAAATTTTTCTCTCTTGATTCTGAATTTTTTGAAACAGACTTTTACATAATTGCAAAGTATTTTTGCTGATGTTTCATTTTGTAGCAGTCTTTTTAAGATCAGTGGAAGACATAATGTGAAGTTWCTATAGGGTGCTTGCAAAACAAGACTTGAAACTTTTTTAATTGTATTGCAAAAACAATGTTGGCAAATTGATGTTCACTTTCAGAGGCATTTGGTGCTTGTTTTGTTTAATTAAAAATTGTTTCCTAGATTGTTTTATGCTTTTCTATGTATGTTATTTGTTTGGGATCTGATAGCTGTTGCAGATTAATTTTAACTTTATAGGTATCCTTTTTACCTCAAATTACTGTTGTCCTTTCCCCCCCTGCCATCTGCCTTACCAGCTGAAGTTGAAAAGAAGCCACTTTAAAACATTGTATGCCATTGTATAGGCAGGTAATAAGACAGAAGTAATGATTGAGTTCTGGGAAGTGCAGGTTCAGAAGGCTTGCAAAGGAGGCAGTTTTAAACATTGTAGATGAGTTCCCTGATGACTGCCTGCTGGGTAGGAGCAATATTCTCTTGTAGAAATGTTCTATGAAAGAGGATTGGTCCATTTTAACTCATAGAAATTTTTATTGCCCATGCTTCTGTTGAAAAATTAAATAGGCCTCTTCTTCATCTAGGTTGTGGATTACAACAAGCACTTGCAAGCTTATTTGTTGTGAATGASTGACAGGACTTCTCAATCTACTTCAAAGTAATGGGGCATAGGGATGTTCCTTGAGTTCTTAGTTCTTTTGATGTGAAAACTTCCTGTCACAGAGTTTGCTCTTCCATTAGATTTAGTAAGTTCTAGTCTTGATTCATGCTCCTTTAAGGGAACATTATTGTACAACTTTTCCAATGGTCTTTAAAATAGAGCRAAATGAAACCAAAGCTAAGCTACAAAGAGTAGTCAGTTGGAGGAGTGAAGCCTGCAGCCTTAAGATACACCATGGCATAGTGGTAAAGAGATTTCCATGAGGTATGCCAGGAGATAAGCACTGGAAGAGTTAGAGTGGGCATGATGGCCTGGTGATTGAGTGGTGGGTTATCATTAACCTTACCTTATCTCTGCAATGGGCCAGGTGGGAGAGGCAGTGATCCTACATGTTCCACCCCTGGGCAAGACCCACAGCCTTTCTAGTCTCTCTCTCTGTAATTCTCTCCATATTCCTCTTTTACATATAAAGTTACTGCCCCACCTCACTGTTCATGATGACAGTAACAGGATACTTGACTACAGGCTCCCCTTCACTTCTCCCAAAAGTGCTTGAAATCCTAGATGGCAGAGGATGAGAATGTGACCACCATGCAGACAAATTACTGGGCTTGTTCCCCCCTCCCTAAAACAGGGACATCTCTGGTAAGATTTCCCCCTGCACCAGAGCCTACGTGGAAGCCCCTGTACATAGTGAGGTACTCTTAGATTGTGTAGCTCTAGTGAGTTTATCAGCAGGATAACTTAACAAGAATCTATAACCTGGTGCTCCAATAAACTGCACTGTTTGTTAACCCGTGATTGTGAATGAGATGAGACTTGGAGTGTAACCCACATTGTGCATCTGGGAGATTACTGAACACAGCCAGACTTAAGAGTGCTGAATTGGTTATAATCAGAAATTAAACCTAGCAGCACCCAGCCCCTCTGATCTCTAAGGACTAGCTGGAAAGCAAGCAAGTTTATTCTTTGCTAAATTTCTATACCCACCAATCTTTTAGTAGAGGTAGGGTTTAGGAAATGAGTATTCCCCTCAACTCGTTTCAGGACAAGAGCTGCATTTTACTCCAAGTCAGTAGATTCCTTCCCAGTGCCAAGAAGGCGTCTAGGTACTTCTAGCTGAGGGATGGCATTCCAGTCCATAGGACTTGCTTGTAGAGACAGAGCCTGTTGGAGAAGGCAGAGGGAGAGGTGATAAYGTCCTTTTTTCTCATGTCTTATTTGTCCTATTTTTCTCATGTCTTTCCTAATTACCATCTTCCATACCACTGCCTCTTACCAAATTCAGCCTTTTGACTGGATCACATTTTCCCATTTATCCATGAGCTCACCTGATCTCCTTGCCAAACCAAGTCAGGTGAAAGGCTGAAATCACTTTCATGAAGGTGAATATACTACTGTGGTGGGAACAGTTCATCACTTCCATAAGGGAGACAGTCAGGCTGAGCGTGGCTGTAGTTTCCAAAATGAGAAAGCAAACATCTGTTTTCACCTGGAGATCTGTGACTACCTCGATCATCAGTTAAATTGTGTCCAGAAGGCTTTTTAAAAGTCTGACATTAGTATTTTGCTGATTTAAAAGGCCAAAGAACCATAAACATTTCAAAAATCAATTATGAAGTTAAAAAAGGTGTATAAGATACCTAACAATCTTTACTGTTTTTACTAAAACAAAAAAAAAATTTAAAAAACCCAAACCAAAACTAAACAAATTAAAAACAAACCAATAAAACCAAAACATTTTTTTTCTTTTTTGCATAAGCACATTTAATGTTAAGCAATGGAAGGAGGAAGAAAATAAAAGACCCAGGCTCAAACTGGGGAGGCAACTCATCCTGGTTGTTTATTCATGTCTGGTTTACAGCAGGTCAAATGCTCCCTTACATTGAATGACATCTCTCTGCCTTCATCCCACAACAACCTCTGAGAGTACATATTTCAAATACGAGTTTGTTAAAAGAAAAAAAAGGAAGTCACACACTAAGGCTGGTAAGCCCCATGGAAACAGTTTCCTTGAGAACAGAATCCACCCTTTTGGTACTCTACTCCATAACAGAAGAGAACCCATGCAACTTTCTCAAAATGCAATTTTGCGGTTGCTCAGTCTGGAGAAGGCTCCAGGGAGATCTTATGGCAGCATTTCAGTATCTAAAGGGGGCTGGGGACAGAGTTTTTGGTAGGGCCTGTTGCAATAGGACAAGTGATTTATCGTTTTAAACTAAAAGGATAGATTCAAACTACAATTTAGGAAGAAGTTATTTTATGATGAAGGTGATGAAACACAGAAAGAGGTTGCCCAGAGAGGTGGCAAATGCTCCATCCCTGGAAGTACTGAAGGTCAGGTTGGACRGGATCTGAGCAACTTGGTCTAGCAAGAGGTATCCCTGCTTGTTGCAGGAGGGTTGGAGTAGATGACCTTTAAAGGTCACTTCCTACCCAAACCATTCTTTGCTTCTACAATGATGTGGCTGTTAACAAGTCTTTTTATACATGACATATATTGCTCTTGGAATTTCATATGGATTCTTCTTAAATTACTACTATACATTTACTGGATTACTATACAATCACATGCAATTTATATTTTTAACAATAATATCAATCATTTATTTTTTGCTAAAACTAGGCAGTATGCATATACAATCACTTCTGGTAATTAGGAATATTAACAGTATGAATAATAACAGCTACATTAAGACTTATCACCTCATATTTTATAAGGATTGTTCCTCATTACCAGGAAAGACTACCTYTCAGCTGTATGTTTGCTCCTGCTCTTGACTGCAGACAGCAGAGCAGTCACAGCAGAATTCTGGTTTTGTGTGGGACCAGGGTCATAGGTAAACTGCTGCTTCATAACCACAGGGTGTCACTGCAGATAGCTCAATAATTTCCAAAACTCACATTAGTGAGTCATTCAAAACAAAAACCAAAATCATGCTGAATGAAGCAATTCTTTCACAGCTGTCAGTGGTTGCTGTCTGTCAGCTTGTGTGTTTATTACATCCTGGGACTTGCATCCCAAAGTATGCCAGAACATTGCATTGCTGCTTCCTAAGAAAGCCACCCTATCTTATTGCATATCAGAGTAAACCAGCAAGTTTTGAGGCAAAAAGGGTTGTCTTTGCTGCTCTAGACCTGCACAGAGAACACTTCCAACTATGGAGCCATGTGCCCCTACAGATACCTGTCATACCACTGGTAATCCTGTAATGTTTAGTTTAAAAAATCCACAGTACCCCTGAAACAGGTTTCTGCCATACTTCTGGTGATGGTCTTCAGAAAAGATTGGTGCAATAGCTTGCTGTGCCTACATCATGACAGTTAATTAGTGGAAACAAAAGAAAGCCTCCAGAAGTTCCATGACCATTAAAAATGTTGGTTCTATTTATATTACCACAAAACTTAAAAAGAGTAGTGGAAACAACCATCACTGTAATTTACATAAAAACATGATTAATAGTACACAGTAACAGTGTGATTTAAATTTACAAGATCCTTCTTAACAGGCACAAGCATTTCCTCTTTTTGTCTGCTTCTGATACTGAACACAGAACATTTTGTGTTTCCTTTTTTTCCATTCAGCTAAGAGCCACTTCCTCAAACGAACAGCCCATACATCTCCTGCATGACACAATGCAAAAAGGCTGGTTGAAGGCAGGAGTAAYCTTCTCTGCACAGAGTTCTTCTCCTTCAGAGCCTCCTCACTCTTCTTTGCCTCCTCATCCTCAGTTGGCTCTCTGTGCTCAGCTCTCCCACCTTGCCTCACTGAGGCTATGAGCTTTCTGGGCTCATCTGGGAGATGACCTTTAGGTGATGGGAATGATGCTGTTGCAGGAGGTCCTGAGCCAGGAGATGCACTCGGGGGACTGTAGCTTTCCCACCTGATGTCTGATCCCATTGAMCAGACTGCTGGGAACACTGGCGATGCCCTGGGTGAAGCTTTCTTCATTCAGCCTACCTGTTACTAAGACCACAGAAAGCCAACAATAAACCCCAAATAAATAAACCCCAAGTGGGCCRTGATCTCTCTGCCCTTCAGGCAGAGCCTTTGACATTTAAAGCCAAGAGTGCATAATTGTTGGTTAACCTTTTCTCTCCCAGGATGGGGTCTATATAAGAAAGCATGCACTATTATCATAAAATTGTCTCCTGAGACCTATGGAAGATGGGAGAATCATCATCAGAAGCTTTACCAAGGCTCCAGCAGGACAATGCGAGCTCTGCCTTATGTTTGGTAGYTTCTGCTCACTGAAATGCTGCTGAGTGAAAACACAGACTCACAGTGTGTTTTGGGTTAGAATTGAACTTAGAGACCATCTAGTTTCAAACCCCYTGTCGTAGGCATGGACAGCTTCCACCAGACCACACTGCTCAAAGCCCCATCCAATCCGGCCTTGAGCACTTCSAGGGATGGCACATCCACAGCTTCTCTGGGCAGTAAATAATTTCTTCCTATTGTCTAATCTACACCTACCCTCTTTCAGTTTGAAGACATTTCCCCTTGTC